CAGCTACTGCCAACTCAATAAGGGGGAAGGGCCTCTTATATAGATTCTAAACTCAGATTCCAAAGGGGGCGACTCATGGCTGTGTCCTTGCTGTGACGCCCAGTTCGCTGTCACCTTCAGCTAGTCCCATCCAGGATCTCAAGGTCAGTTTACTACCACTTTATCAAGCTTGAATGCAAGGCTCAATTCTTTACCGCCCTAATTCAGTCCTTGTCAGTAAATCTTTGGTCACTCCCAACAGTGTTTTTTATGAGCTAGAGCTTCATAAAATGAATTAGCTTTGCCCACTGCTTGACAAGGAATTTAAAGCCCCAAAACAATAGGAATTTAGTCTAAATAGTTAATATTAGACTGGCCATTTTATTGTCCACCATGGTGGAAACAAAGCAGGGGGCATTTGTTACCAGTGGATTATGTAGAGCACACTGCAAGCCTCTTGCCTTCCATTCATATCCAGGTGAGGGTACTGAAGAAGTAGGTTTCAAGCCAAACTTTTGAGACTATTGAGTCCTAGGAGACCTCCTTTCCCCTTCAAAGAAGGCTCTTTCCCTGTAGGAAATTCAGAAGGGGGGGGGGAGGGAAAGGAGCTGTAGAAGGAAGAACAAGGTGCCCTAAAATCTTGAAGTCTGTTGAAAAGGCGGAACATGAGAAAGATGTGCTTAAGAAAGTAATAGGAGAGAACAACAATTTCAATAAACTGGCAGAAGAGAAACTACCCCACAAAATGGAAGCCAACAATGAGAACCAAAAGGCACAAATAGTTGCCAAACTGGAGTGTTTGAGATAGGATAGGCACTCAGCAGAAGCACAGACTGGAGACTCCAGAGATCCTTATCAGCAGGGTAAGTCAGACATTGATTAGTTTCTTCTAGTGACTTTCTTCTTCCCTTCCTAAATATTCCGACATCATGGTTCAACTAATTAAATTCATTCATTCATTTATTCAGCAAAAGAAGTCGTAAGGATACATCAGGCACATAGTTGAGAGAGAGCACAGTCCCTGCCAGTAAGGCACTTAAGGTAGTCAGGATGTTACAGGACACGGAGAGAGGTACCCGCAAGCCCCCAAACTTGCCCTCTAAATAGGTTCTGCCATCTGCCACATCCACAGACAAAGCATACTCGAGTGCATAAGACCTTCACTGGAAAAGAACTTTAATACAGCTAGCGTGCAATACAAAAAAGGGGAAGAAAACAGTTTCCAAATCAAGCACCCAAAGTTACCCATCCCCCCATCAGTAAATGCCCAGTCAAACAGTTGGCTCAAACCAGGGCTTCTGAGGCTCGAAAGCCTGCCACAAGACTAAGGCACCTTCTTGTGGGGACCCATAAAAAAAGGGTCAGAAATAGCCAGGCAAGTCTGAAAGGAAAAGAGCAAAAATCAAAATCAAGATCAATGCTGCCATTATTAACTTCCACACATCTGTTTCAACCAGTCCAGGACCAAAAAGCAAGAGCAGCTTCTTCAGAGTCTCTTTGCTCCATCTGCATCTGCTGCGTCCAAGGTCTCCTTGCTGTCCATCCTCCATCCTTCCCCAGTCTCCTCTCCAACCTCTCCTCCCTGCTCAGATCCACCCTCCCTTGGGTAGGGCAGGGAACATTGAACCTCCCCTTTCCCTGGGAACCACTCTGTTACAAGGGGAAGAGACACATTAACAGATACTTAGAAAACAGTGAGGAACATAAGGTGATGGTCATAAAAAGATGAGGAGGGATACCATATCCAGTCTGGAGCAGGAGGAAAGAAAGTCATCAGGAAAGGCTTCCAGAACATAGTGATGTCTGAACAGAGTCTGGCTTCTTCCCTTATACATTTCATAGACTATAAATAATACATTTTTTAAAAGATTTATTTATCTATGTTTACAGAATGGGGTACAGACCAGAGGTGTGGTGGGTGAGAAGATTCACCAGAGACAGAGTGGGGAGCAGAACAGGCAGATCTGTTGAAACACTGCTGAGGGGAGCAGTGGGCGGGTCAGAAGAGGTCTGCGGAGTCATGTGGGTCAGCTCTCTGGCAGGGGATTGAACCAGTGCTGCAGTGGCTTCGGAGAGCTTCATAACGCGGTGGGTGCTATAACCTGTTGTGCCACCAGGGAAATCCCTGAATAATGCATTTTTATCATTGCTCTTTTAGTCAAGTCATAAAAGCTATGAATCCAAGGGTAAGTTCTAGAAATTACTGGGTAATACAGCATACATCCATAAAATGATGAGGCACGCCCTCCCTGGTGGC